TTATTAATTAGTAAGTCAGACTATATAAAATATTATTTTATTATTTCTGTTACTATTATTATTATTATTGTTGTTGTTGTCTTAAAATGATTTAAAATACGTTATATTAATATTCCTAATTATAATATGAAAATTTTAGTGTTCCGCCACCAGGTTGTATAAACCTACCTGCAGGAATAACAAATCTATCTAGAAACGTATCTGTGATAGTAGGTCTTTATATTGTATTAAACAAATTTATTTTCAGTGCACGGCGGACCGCGGTAATAGCAACATCGCATGTTCCGTTCCTGTGTGCTTTCGACAGTGTTTCTAATATCGTATTTGGTGTACGTATTAATAAAACTGTGATATAGTCTCTCCTTCAAGTGAATTCTCTGTGTGGCTGGTACTCGAAAGAGTGGCAACTTCGGTCAATATGGATACACTGAACAACAAGGAAAACATAACCTCGAACGCCTGACGACAACAACAACAACAACAACAACAACATGGATCAAACTCTAAATCTTATGCTGGAGCTGCGACAAAGGACATTTTCCCGTCAAAGGACCAAGCAATTATTATAGAAGCCCCCGTAGGAATGGCAATGAAAGATTATGAGAGTAAAATATCAACTTTAATTAGATCGCTGGTGAGGTGGATACCTTTTTATTATGATAAATAAATAAAGATGTTGTCTGGTATCAATACTGTATTGACACCAGACATCTTTATTTATTTATCATAAAATATCAACCTTTATCAATCCAAGTGATATCAGATTTGTGTCGCGCATAGCAAATAATAGGGTATGTGTATTCTTGAGTACCAAGAAAATCGCTACTACCTAACTACTACTAAAAATCTACCTAACAGATAACCATCAAACTTTCACTATTAATGACATTGAAGTGAATGTTAGACCCCTATTAAGGAAACATGTAAGAGTTATAGTATCCAATGTATGTCCAGTTATCCCACATAATGTGATAAAAAATGCTCTTCAACAATCGAATATTCAAATTTCTTCTAACATTAGAGCAAGTTTTCCTGAACCAGGTATGTCTCATATTATGAGCTTCAGACAACAAGTCTTTGTTCACCCAAATGAAGTACATAAATTACCACAATCACTTCTAATTTCATATGAAGATACAACATATAGACTATTTTTCACAACTGATAATATCACCTGTTTCAAATGCAAAAATGAAGGCCATATTGCCAGTAAGTGTCCAATTAATAACATTAGCCTTTCACCAATTATAAATAGAGAAACAGATAACAATAATGATAATATTTAATAGAGATTCCCCCTACAGAGCAACCAGATGATAATCCATCTGGCTCGATTGCTATGGACTATACAAACTTCCCTCCTATCAACAAAAGAAGACTCCCATCTGAATCATCCTCTACACCTGAGAATACATCAACTAGTCATGTAAAATGTAAAGACAAAGGCTGTAAACCCTCAAAGAAAAAGAAAGAAAAAAATGCAAATGAAGAGCTTGCCTCTCAAGACAATTTAGTTAACAAGTCAATAGAATAACTTCTATACCCAATCAAATCCTATATTGACTCCAACCAATAGAATAACTTCTATACCCAATCAAATCCTATATTGACTCCAACCAAGAACTTCCTCTGTCATACACCCAATTCAAATCATTCGTTGAAAACACTTTTGGAGCACCTGACCCCATTCCTATAATGAAAGATTATTCAACTGATTTTAATGCAGTAATTGGTATGCTGAAAGAAATATATAAACTATTGAATGCAAGATCTATAGGGGGCGATTTACAAGAGTTATTAAAAGAATACAAAGAAATATTCCCAGCAGAGAGAGACCTCGGACTGAGAATTCAGTTTTGACAGTACCTAAATACTGTATGTACTTATTCAGATTATTCCATAGAATTGAAGTCATTCTGACACATCTGAAAGTAGAATATAATACAAAGAAGAAGTTATGATAGTTCTGCAATGGAATCTAAATGGCTTTTATAGCAGGCTAGAAAACATATTTATGCAAACTACAGAGCCTTGATATAATCTGTATACAAGAAACACACTTTAAAAGAAAATCACATGGGAATATAACTGGATATACTTGCACCTTCAAAATAGAAGTAATCCTGAATATGCATGTGGTGGTGAGGCAATATATTCCAACAAATCGATTCCCATTGAAATTCTAATAACCTTAGTCGTTGATGCGACAAAAAATAAAGAGAAAAAAAGTTTATTTTCCGAACGTTAATCAAAATTAGTTTATATTATTACATAAAATATCACATGATACAACTCATTCTGCTTCTATATGACTCACAAAAGCCACCTTTCTCGTTAATAATTATTTCTCGATGTAATATGAACAATTTATCTACTTGGTAATATCTTGATCTGCTCTAACCCCAAGTCATTGTGCTTGCAGAGCGTCATTCAGTGGCGTGGTCGTAATATAGTTGTGAATAATTTTTTGTAGTCGTTAATTCAGTATTAAATATTTTTTAAATAGTTATAAAATAATTATAAATTAATTAGTAATAGTTTTAGTAGTAGTAAGATAGCAATAGTTTTATTTTCTAGATACGTAGTAATTTGTGAGTTATTTTGGAAATGTATTTTGTTATTGTTGCACCCATTAAAATGTAAAGTAATTGTGTGCTTTAGATTCTTGATTTCTATATTTTTGTACACGTTCCATTTCAATTGGAAATATATCATGTAACCATTTATAATAATGCGAGAAACTATGTACTGTTGTAGAATCACTACTTAGTTGCAGTCATATTCACCAAAACTATCTCTGCTATCCTACCTTTACTTCTCTCACCACATTACCCTTTTCATCTTTCAACGTTAATGTTTTCTCAGGAAAACATTTGAAAAGCTAACGGTGCTTAAACAACCTATGGTTTCCCGCCCCTTAGTAATGGTTATGTAATAATTATATCACAATTTCTGTCTATATCAACACATCTCAATCAATGAGCGCTGCCAACAAAACGCTCATGGCGCGATGGGCGCAACCAACAATGGGCGAATTTTCTTATCAATTCTTGCTAAAATCCCATGGGCATGTACGCCAATATACGTGAGGTGTTCACGCAAACTTACATGGAGTGCGCACGGACACATATTTCCATAGTAAGGGATGTGTACAAGAGCTTATCTTTTTTTGTGTAGCAAGTGTGTATTTTGGCCCAAATTAATGTACGTATGAGCACGAACTATATGTATTTGATGTGTTCACGAAGGAATCGAAAGAGTATAAACGATGGGCACGCCTAGATTACGACACCAGTTAATTATTTCCCTTGGAGAAAGTTCTAGTAGAAAACGTCCACGATAAACCCTAAAATTGTCATTAGCAGAACTCATCTCAACATTTTCATCGTTTGAATATAATTAACTATATGCATTCGCCTATGGTGGATTACCTCACTAGGTGTAACTTCTTCCGATCCAACCTAACCTAACCCACCCTAATCTAACCTAATGTGTGTGTTCTTCAACAGCAAAACCTTTTGCCATTGCGACTTGAACATGCATGATTCCGCATTCTGTGTGATAATCACATCTCACCCACTCCCACTGCCAGTGGTTGAGGTATTCTTCATCATTCTGCTAATTGTACTTGTGAATACATATGAAGGAATTTCACTGAATTTGAGCATGCATTTAAAGCTAAAAATTTATATTTATGAGAAGGCCAAGCACTATAATAAATTTGGTAAACACCCTGAAATAACGTAAACAGCTATCAAAATAATAACGTGCTGAGCATGAGTCAGAATTGAGTAAATATTTCATTGTTAAGTGTGAATGTGAAGTTAGATTCTATGTTATTGTGTTAAAGAGTATGTCTTGTTTGGTGTTACGATTTTTATCGGCAGCGTCACACTGGAAAGTGGCGACTGTGCAGATTTACGCCGCCGAATACCGTTGGTCACGTGGTAAAATATATCGCAAAACTTAGCATATGAAGGCCCCCTCCCAAAAAAAATTGAATATATATGTTTTAAAGCGATATATTTCTGATTTAATCTATCCAATTATTGTCTCTAATAAAAAAAATACAAAAAATAAATAACTAAATACGCAATCAATAAACATTAATAAGCGATTTAATACCCCATTGTTATTTTTGATATTATAATTAGAAGAAAAATTAAAGTTTGCAACAACGTGCGTATCCACCAACATAAATCTTAGAAATTAGAATGGCCTCTTTCCTGAAAGAAAGGTTAAATTAATAAATATTTTATATGTATCACCTAAATATTACTTACTACTAAATATCAATAAAATATCAATAAAAACTATTACTAAATATCAATAATTACCAAATTTTTAATTAAATAATTTTATAAAAATTTAATCACAAAATACTATCACCTAGATATACAGTTTCTAGGTGATGTTGATCAGAACTCGACAGTTGTATATCTTGAATTGAACAATATTATAATTTTATGAATTATGGCTTAAATAATGCAGCTCTTTAAGAATTATTTACCTTCGATATGAACGAACGATAAAAGTCATTATTCCGTCTGCAGACTGTCAACTTTATGTACTTGTCATCAATTCACTGAGAATACAAATTGTAAAATGAAGGAACGTAAAACGCGAGAAAGCACAAATAGAATTAATATTGGCATTTTGAATAGGATATTATAATTAAAGTTAAATTAATTATGTTTCATAACATTCATTCAATGTTTCTCGTAGCCCGAAGTTGAAGTAAAACCTGTATATATTTCATTAATTCCAACTAGAAATTACGCAAAAACGACTCGATTTAAAGAAAATATACATGACCTTTTCACATTTGTACAAGAGACTGAAGCAAAAATCTATCTTCCATTTTGTAGTTTAGAATTTTTTTGCAATTTTCGAAAAAACAAGCCTTACCCGAAAACGGGTTGCCACGAAACTTATTATTCACTCAGTATGGTCCTAATATGACGACTTACCTTTATATCTACCTAATTTCATGTACTCACGTCTTTGAATCCTTGTAAATTGTATAACGTGAGGGGATTGCCACTTAAGAAAAATTCTCGCAGTTCCTCCATGGCCTCAGGAATCTTCTTACAGTCGTCCGGGAGTCGGGTTTCGGGGAAGACGTACTTCTTCCAGTCCGAATCTATGATCCGCAGATTATCTTCAGTTGCAAAGACTGAATCGTTCACTGCGCAGAAAAAAATGATTTTTTAGTAGTGAGGACGAAAAAAAGGGTTATAGGAGGATTTATCGAAACAACACCAAAATTAAGCATTCTCCGCTTCAAAGGACGGAAATTAGTTTTGTGTTTTGGAACTAATCCAAATAACTAGCTTCATCCCACTTTTTGTGCATTGGCACACTGGGAGGCGAATATAATAATTTTCCACTTAATGTACACAATAACAAATCGTTTCACAGTTGATTTAAATAAACTTTATTAATGACCTTTGCTCTGTACTATATTTATTTTATTTCATTTTTCACAAATAAAGCAATTTTAATAACGAACAGTTACAGTGTATAAATTTATGTAAAATTTTAGAGATTTATTTCAATTCTTCTTCTTCTCATTCTTCTTCTTCTTCTACTTATTATTATTATTATTATTATTATTATTATTATTATTATTATTATTGTTGTTGTTGTTGTTGTTATCTTACATTATTTACAGTATCTACTGGTCGGTATGTCAACTACACACAGGAATGATGACCAGGTGTGTGGTTGCTTAACTGAAGGTTCAGATGGCTTCTGAACGGCATATATTCAAAATTACTGACTTTTGCATATTATATACATTCCTGGCATTGAAGTGAAGACACTCCAGGGCACGAAGTGTCATTTTCGGCATCACTCCTGTATCTGATATTATTATAGGTACAGTTGTCACTTTACTGAAGTTCCACTGATACTTCATGGGCGAGATCGGTATAATTCTGGATCTCTTCTTGATATTTTCCCGATATGTTGTGGGTATTGGGTATTGACATATCGATAAGGAAATCCTGCTGATGGTTTCTATCAATATACGTTATATCAGGTCTATTGCCGCCGACATGTCTGTCAGTTATAATGGAGCGATCCCAGTAGAGTGAGTGCTCACTACTTTCAAGCACATTCTGAGGCACATATTTAAAAACGGCACGGAAGTGGCGAGTAAGGCCCGTTCTCAAACGCCAGAAATTGGTGTACCTGCTTGCCACTTCATCATGCCTCTTTTTGTATTCCACCTGTGCGTGGCTGCTACATTCCACTTGTCACGTGTTGGATAGTTTCGCTTGCAGGCCTCACATCTTATACACGAGTCGAGATGAATGGTAGAATCTCTCAGAATGTGGTTTTCTGTAGTTCAATGTTTGGTACCACTTGGTTCCTGGATAGCTATCATGAAGGCTTCTGTCTCGGAAAAGAGACCCCGTGCTGAGGCCATGCGTGCGACGCAGAGATGTCGATCTTTCTGTTTACTCCAGCTCGTGAGGGTAACGCTTCCATGCAGTGCCTTTGCTTTCGCATAAGTTATCTTCTCTCCGTTTCAATGATTGGTATGAACAGGCGGATCAAGCTTTTTTCAAGTTCAAGGGGACTATGATTATTATTCAAACTGCGCTCACTGCTTGCTGAACTCTCCACAATGTTCCAAGAAGTATCTTCTTGAGTGAAGCAATTGGAGAGCTGTGTAATTTATGAGATCTACAATACCTCGCCCTCCTTGCGACCTTGGGACAGGTAAACGCCTTCAGTACTTGAATGGGGATGATGTTTTCGGTGTTGAGTACATAGCGCGTTCGAATTGTTCTCTGGAGGTTCGAGGTCGGTATTGCTCCCATTAATAACGCCAAAGGAGTATGTCAGCACTGGGAATAAACAAATGAATTGATGGCCTAGCGCACAGGTTTCTAGGCAGAGAGTTGAGTTTTTAAGAGCCATTGCAATCGTTTACACACTTCATTTGTTAGTAATATTCTTAGTAACAGTGTGTTGATTTCGAGGGTCGTTTGGAAACCAAGTATTTGTAAGTTTCATGGGTTACCATGAAGGTAAATCTTTGGTTCATTATCGTTTTCCAAATGTATAACTTTGCATATGACCCGATATGATATTCACTCTTCCTGCACTTATCCAAACCCGAATTTCATCTTAAGTCGTCAGCTGAACATCTAGTCACGTTTATTAGTGCCGCATATGGCTCTCAGTGTCTGCATAGAGCTTCAGCGTCATCCATGTAAAGGAGATTGTGAAGACCACGAAGAAGAGTTGAGTTCCCCTTTTTAGAGCGATTCCATAATTAGATGAATTAAGTAGAAGTATGACAGGGGAGTCAAGGCTAAACAGAACAATATGGGCTTAAAGAGTCACCCTGGAAAAATCCCTCGGGCATGTGTATAGTTATCTGTGTGGACAGATTGTTTTCAATTAGAGAGATAACAGTTTTGTATTTTCCATCGACTCATCGCAAAGTTTTCAGGAAGTTTTGGATAAACGCGGTGGACCTTGTATACATCAAAACATTGAAGGAGCAAGAATGGGGCACGGTGTCGAATGCTTTAGCGTAATCTATGTAGCATGCGCCTACAAGTTTCTTTGTTTTCAAGCACTTTTTGCCCCATAATTACAGAGTCTATAATGAGTTGTCCTTGCATCCCTGAGATCGGTCTTCATCCTTTCTGTTCATTTGCTAAGATCGTTCTGTTCCTCAATGTGTGTCATATCATTTGCGAAACACACAGATGTTATGAGTTGTAGAAGTTTGAAGGCAGTTATAGGCCCTGTACTTCCAGAGGGGTCTTTAGTGTCCACCCTTCCTTTGGTTATGCAAAAATTGTTCTACCTTCAAGTGAGGGAAGTGAGGTAGATTTTCTGGATTGTGAAAAAATATTGAATATATTAGCTATATGAAGGTTGATGTTGCTGGTAAAATTTTTGATGCCAATAATTGTGAGGCCATTCACTGCCTGGTGCCTTTCCAGTTATTGTGCTTTGCTCAAGCTTGCTTGGACAATTTCCAACTGGTGATGATGTTCACGACATTAGAGGATATCTCGGTGTCTGTCATATTCCATTTTCAATCCACCGGATATCTGGGTTGGTGGGACACAGCAGTAGACCAGATAGGCTTCAAAAAGTCCTCTATTTGTGTCTTTGAGGGAAGCTTTGGACTCTTTCATATCATTTACAGCCCTTTGCCCTTTGACATATTCCTGTAGAGAATGCTTTCTGGTTCTGTTAAAAAAGAAATTCTGTTGCTTCCTCGTAGTGCAATTCCTGTAGGCGTCGAAGGCGTTTGTTAACGCCAACAAAGCTTTTTTTTGTCGTAGGGTGTCAAGATGTCTTGTTTGTGAATCAGGCTGCCGCGTGCTTCGTGATGAATTTTTGTAATTGGATGAGATGTTATTCACCTTTCTTCTCGTTTTTCTGAGTATTTCCTTTTTTAAATTGCTGTGAGTCTCCCATATCTCTCCTAGTGCTTTCTATACGATTCACCAGCCCTGTCTTTCCAAGTGTGGCCATTCTTTTTTCAACTTCGAGTCATGTGGGAAGTTGGCTAGCGGCGCTGAAAAAGCTTGGAACCGTTACATCTTGGAAGCCACAACCGCAGCACAATAAATTGCTGTGTGTACTTCTTCGAATGATGGTCTTTGTTGTAGATGTTTCGAATGATGGTCTTTGTTGTAGATGTTGTAGATTTATTATTATTATTATTACCATCGTTTATACTCAACTATAAAGGCCAAGGCAAGAAACACAAGGATGAAATGATTCATTACTAATATAACATTACAGCTATTAATTCTACATTTTAAATTTATAGGCATTTTAAGCAAAAAAACAATTAAAAAATAGACATAACTACAACTAAAAAATACACATAATAATAACAATTTAATTTTTATTTGAACTTCTGGCTTTGTTCATGTTCTAGTTCATTAAACTCATGGTTTAGTTCACTTTTCTCTTTCCCCTTTCTTTCTCTTCAGCCCAGGAATTTTCTCACTAAATGACACGTGTCCAGAATCATAGACTTCTGCATCAACATTAATATTTCTGTTGCATCCCGTACTTCAAATTGAGATTTGGTAGACTGGCATATTATTCCTGTGGCTGACATTATTACAGGTCAGAGGGTGACTTTCTTTTTCCAGAGATGTTTAATTTTGTCAGCTAGGTCTTTGTATTTTGTTATTTTTGTACTGCATGTAGTGCTCATGTTAGTTTTTTTAGTGGAATTGCGACATTAATTATGTGAAGTACTTCTTTCCTTTTGTTCAGCAGTGGAATATTAGGACAATTTGATGGGATAGTGACATCGGTTCACCATTTTCACGGCCTCCATATAATTTCTGTGGTTATTTTCAATGAATGCCGGAGGTATTTATTTGTAGTACGAGACTGTAGTTGGGTTGGTGACATTTCCTTATAAATGTTTGTGTAAAATCTTCACCAAATTGTTGTGTCTCATCATTTATTCTGTACTCGTACGAAGGTGACAGGAGTCTGTAATAGTATGCTCAATAAACTGTGATGAATAATCTGTGTCTGGACTCAATTATCATTTGCGGCATCGGTCATTAGAGATGGTATCTTTTTTATTGAATTTTCTGTAGTTTTTGGTTGGTAATACTCTGACTTGGATAATCAACATAAATTCTGAATTTTATCCTAACTTTCTTTCTTTCTTAAGCCAAAGATTGGTTGATTCTCCACCAACACTCTCATTTTCCAATTGGTTAGATATGTTCCATGTAGTGCTTTCGATTTTCATTGTGCTTTCTGGTCATCTACTGATTTGCATTGTACGGCATATTGGCTGTCTGAGAGCCGCAGAAGTGTTGCATCAATGTCAGCTTTGCAAATAACTCGCAACATATGGAGAGATGTTTATTTGTATAGAAATACTGCTTTAGATCATCGTTTAAAGGCGCCGTATGTTGATTATGCCCATTCCCCCAGGGATGTAGGAAGAGTAACACGCTCTATTGCTGCATTGGGGTGCCTCATACGATATTCTGCCAGTTGCGTTTTAATAATTCTTGACAGGCCTTCCAACTCTGTAGTTGACCATTTAATGAGACCAAAAGAAAAAGTACGTAATGGAATTGAAAAAGTATCTATGGATTTAACTTTGTTTCTATTATACAGTTGAGTTCTTAGTATGCTTTTGATATTAGTTTGTTTCAATTGTTTGTGTAGATCTGTTTCAATTGTTTGTGTTTTTGGGTAATCATTTCATTATAGCTGTGACATTCCTTAATATTTGTACTTTTTGAGGTCTTCAAGATAAATGGTCACATCAGATGTTACACAATAACCTACAATTTTGCCCGTTTCAAAATGAACAGATTTGTATTTATCATACCATCTTCCATACGTATTGCATTCGTAATATCTCATTGCAAAATCTAGAAGTAATGTCAAGAATTTTGGGGAGATTTTCTTTTGAGGTGATCCGTGTACAATAGATTGTTGATAATATAATTGCCGTTTGATCGAGTGGTTAGTTTGTATTCGTATGATGTGCTACGGAGTGGTTTACTGAGTGGGTTCATTGCCAAGCAGAACCATAGTGCACTTCATGAGTCGCCTTAAATTAATGTGGTTGATTTTCATTTACAACAACTGAACGATTAGAATATTACGACGTAACAGTTTTTATAATTTTCGATTTACCATTATAAACAAGGAATATAACATTTAACTTTTTGGATGGGGTTTTTTATACAGTTGAAATAACGTTTAATTAATTATAGCCAATTTGTCTATTGATGTAAAATTTTGCGACGTGCCTTTTGGTGAGCAAATTCATCAATACTTATAGTATAATCTAAAACGCTGAGACAATTTTCTTCGATACACAATAACGCTAAGGAGTTCCGTCGACACTCTGTCATTGTAGAATACAAATAATTTTTAATCCTTTTTAAACAAGAGAATGAACGTTCTGCTGTGCAATTGGCTAGCGGAATACATTAAAAGATTCAATGTGTAATGTCAACGTTAGGATAAATACATTCTAATTCTTCTTTCCGTAACCACTTTAATAAAGCTTCAGGGTTCGTTGGCTTAACATCTTCGTCAAAGATTTTTAAATACGAACTTAAATGTATAAGCTCAGAAACAAGCGATTCTTCAAGATATTGGAGAAATCGTGAACATAAAAATATCGCTGCTTTTTCCAAATCTATCAAAGATAATTTTTCTACTTCAATGACAGACTTAAATTTGTCATGTGCATCTTTATACGTCTCAAGTCTCTTATTCAATTCTGCAAGTAATTAATCAATAATAACCAAATAAGTGTCGATTTTAAACTTGTCTCGTGCGGTCAGTTCTGCTGCATTCTCGTTAGTTTCATCACATTGCATTTTACGTTTCCTTTTTTTTCGATTCGTACGTTTCAGTATTTGATAGCTTCTTATCCTTCTCTTCAAAAAGTTCTAAATTGTCTCTTCGTTTTTAAAAGTTTTACAAGCGAAGTGTAAATACCAACCACGGAACTTAAATCGATATCGACTTTTTGCAGTTGTTTGTTCGACGCATTCAAGCGGTCTAAAATGAATCCCCAAACCTCGGTCATAATAGCAGTTTCAAGCCGATTTAAAGTAACAATAAGATCTTTAGATTCCACACGCGTTGACGGTTTTTGCGTAGAATTATCAGATATAATATGAAGGACATCTAAAACATTTTGCCAACGATGTTTTAGAGCCTGACATGCATCATCTCGCGCTGACCAGCGCGTAATTGAAAGACTTATCAAAGAGGATGTACTACTAGATCCTTCATCTACTAAATTTTAAAGTATGCCCCAACTTTTCGACATGTCCTCTCAAAGGAAGCCCTCTTGAAACAAGACATTTTATTACTAAAATGACACGCTCAAGAACATTCCTTCAATAAGTTGCCTCGGTTTCAACTTGTTTAAGCAGCTTGGTTCTCAGCTTTAAGCTCATTCACTTGGTTTTCAGTCCGCTGTCTATTTTTTAATGCGGACGTACAGTTTTTATGGCATGTAGAATTCACATGTTTTAATTCGGTATACGCATTTTTCCAATCATTGATCAATCCGATGATAATTTTGTTCTTACTTCTGAATTGCTTGAAAACAATAGACAAACACCGCAGAAAACCGTTCCATTGCTCTCAGAGTAAACAAGCTACTTGCGAGGCATTTTTTCTTTACTGGTATGCGTACACTCAAACATATTCGACGTTAAGTAACAAACTGCCATCATTGTAGTTTCTTGATTTAGAAAAGTCAACGTTTTTGTTTTGTTCGAACCCATCTTTGGAAACATAATCACGTGTAGCTTGATTTATAGATCACAAAGCTGGATGGCTTTTCCGACAAAAACGATCAGTTGAACTTATGGTTTCATCAATTTTATGTTCTTGCAGTTGTGTACATTCGCTAGAAATCCTACTTAATATATATATATATATATATATTTATAC